CTTTGTGTCAGAGAGGAGTCAGACGCTCTTAGCAGGAAAAGATACTCATCCGGGAAAACGAGCCCCAGGAAATTACGGAAAGGAAAAATATTGCGATGACTGATAGAACTCCTTCACTTTATGTCTCCGTTAGCCATGCAGAACACAGCTAGATGGGCTCTGCTGCCATAACGGCTCGGGCTTTAATGCCGTAAGTACTAGACTGCTTGTGCGGCTTGGAATGACAATTCAAGTACAATTTTACGTTTATGAGTTTATTTTTGCCGACTCGTATAACGGCCAAATCCAGCCCAAATTGTCCAGGTCCCACTTTCAAAGCACGTTAAGTGTGCAAATTGTATCTGCACATGAAATTCATCGCAGTAAATCCTGAGGAGAGGCTGAAGGAGATGCTGGGACAGGCCCCGATGTGAGAACGCCTTGGGCACCGCTTTTTCCAGGCAGGACGATCCAGGTGCTCCGTTCAGAGAGCAGCGGGGCTGCGCAGCCCCGGGCACCCAGGGCGACGTGTCCTGCTGCAGCGATGTGCACGCAGCGCCCGCCCCGACCCACCGAGTCGGGCGCCCAACCGGGCACCAGACCCCCCACCCTTGCTGTGTGCGGCCGGCAACCCGAAGAACTGCACTTTAGTCTCTCGTTTTGTTCTGAGATGACCTGGAATGAGCCTCATACTCTCTCTACATCACAGCAGTTATGATGTAATACAACAGTTTTTCCCTATCAGGCTATTTTTTGGCTGAAATCGAGCCTATGAAATACTGCAATTACAGTTTCTTTTTCATGTGTTTTGCTCCTGACATTTCTTCTGTCTTCCTATTCTTTCAAAGAACACCAAATATTCAGTGTAATTAAGGCTCTGCAGGAATGATCTTTCAACACATAATGATGAAGAGCAAGAGTTTTCATGGGGAAAGTATTTACGGCTTTCAGAAGCAATGGAAACAATACCTGCTTTTGACCCCAGCGAGGCCCCTAAAATTCATTTCTCAGGAGAAAACCACAGTCAAAATAGCAAAGCCTTAACTCAGAGACGGGAGTATCCTGAACGAGGCACCAGAGTCCTCTGCCGACGCTATCATCATAGGTCAATGCCACTTAAAGCCAACTTAGGGACTATTTAGAGGCAGGCAAAGGACGTATTTGATCCATCTCCCCTTTTAATCAGTCTTCCTTAGTTATTGATGAAGCCTCCGCTCCTCACCACCCCGGCCCCCACAGAGCTATAAACACCAGCAATTTATAAGGCTTCGTGGGGGTAATTTGTCTGGCGACTCTGACGCGAGGTTGGAGGTGGCCCGTGCAGGTGGCTGATTCGAATTGTCACCCGTCCTCTGACTCACACGGCCTTCAAATTACAGCTAATCCCCTTTGGGTGCACAACGGGGTGGGTGGGTCTAATATTCATCTTAATTGCAACAAGGACTGGGTCATCCATAAGAAATGTCTCTGGAGATGCAATTTAGACTCAAAAAGCATTTTGTGTTAGATCTTTAAACCTTCTTTGAAATGCTCCCCTGTTTCCCTGCCAAACAGGCCAAGAAGAGACAAGAAAATAATCATAGTTTTTGATGAAGTATTCCTCAGACCCTGTTCCCCCCGCAGGAGGGGGGAAGCCAGCCCACGGGGGATCCTGAGCAGCCCCCCGTTAGTATGGCTCCAGCTGTATGGGGTCAACGAGCTCCGCTCGCTTCTTCCTTCATTACCCCTCTGTTTCCGCTAATGGTCCCACTCGCTTTTCAAGCACTGAAGACTCTGTCGCAGCTTTGCAGTTTTCTGAATATTTCTCTGTAATTTGAGCAGCACCAGTAGGTTTTCACTCAGAGACCTTGAAGTTCTTCAGTGTGTCATCTTGTCAGGCTCATTTGATCTTACCAATTCCCTTTCTGTTTCATATTCTTTCATTGGCAGCCCAAGAAAGTTTTCATCTGATTCTTGAACTCTGCCTTTATTTGACAGAGAGGGCTTCGGCGCCGTCCTTTATGGCAGAGATTTACAGCAAGTTGAAAGAAATAGGCAGCATGTAAAGCCAGGTCTGAATTCAGCCTGATTCTGGTTTTCCTTTCTGATTTTCTCTTATTTAAGAAAGCAGGGGGAGGTGGGCAGCGAGAGCGGCCCGGCCGTTCCCTGGAGGAACGAGCAGGACTGTCAGGGCGCAGCCCGAGCGAGGCACCCGCAAACCCAGCGCGGGCGACGGTCCCCGCTGCAGAACGGCGAGACGAAAGAGGGGGGAGGAGAGGTCGCTGAACTGTACCTTGCCTGTGGAAAATAGAAGCCAAAAGTGACAGATATACCCAGGATGAACTTCTCTACACCCACATGGCCTGTGCATTGCGCCCCGTCCATCCCCCGTGATGGGGTCTTCCCCACGGACGCCCTCCCACGCTTCGCCCTCCTCTGTTCACGTCCCGCGGACGGCGGCTCCGCGTTCGCAGAACATGTCCTCACATCAGGCGCTGAGGGGGGAGCGGGGCTGGGGGGGTTTGCTGAGGGGCACCTGGGAGAGAGCTGGGGCTCTTTTCTCTAAATATATCCAACTGTCTGCCTGCGGGCGCCTGTGAAATTAAGCAACAAGACATCTCTTTGGATAGCAGCACGTCTGGCGGAGAATTACAGAGAGAAATATCTCCTAATACAAACTGTGGGCTGGGCTTTGAGAAAGGGCTGTTGTAAAGCTACAGAGATCTCAGAAGGAAGCGGAGATGATAATTAATGCCTGGTTCAAAAGCAATTATACCAATTATGTTTTTAATTTAATCTCTGCAAAATTTGGGACTCTTAGAAAATGTAAATAAACAGCTCTAAAAATATTAGCGTCTCTCCTGTTGAGCATCCTCCCCAGCTCCTGGCTGGGAGAGCCGTGCTCACAGCAGTGCTTGCCTGCCAACCCTAGGCAGGATTTGCAGAGAGATGATCACAGAAAATTCCCTCGGTTCTGCCCAAGAACTACAGAGGGCCCCATAGAAACATGCCCCACAGGGAAAAAATGTTCTCCCACCACCTGCACCAGTGCCGAGCATCACAGCAGCCCGTGGCAAACCCACACCCACTCCCACCATTGTGCTGGTGCTCTGAGGACTCCTGCCCCGCAGGGCGGTGGGAAGCTCTGCTTCTCACTGAGCGAAATCCCACCCCCGTTCCCGTGTGCACCAGCAGGAGAGTCCCCTGAAACGCTGCCGTTTGCCACAGCTACCGCTGCAGAACCACTGCAGCACCTCTCCTCACTCAATCTAGAAATGTCACTATTCCCCACATCCCGGAACTGCTGCGTGCTCGGGCTAGAGGTCGCGTGTCTGCACCGCATCCCATCCCATGGTCGTGTGCTCCATTGCTGTCGTGTGACGTAGCGCTGCAGAGATGATCCGAAGTGACCGAAGGCTTTGGGGAAGCGACTTGAGATACCTCAGAAGGACCTGGCTTCCCGGGTTTCCTTGCTGCCTGCAATGCGGGACATGGGGCTAACAGCCGTGCTGGTCACTTCTGAAAATCTTGGCTGAATTTGTCTTTTTTTTTAATAAGCCGCAGAACCGAAGGGGTGGGCAGGCCCTGCACAGCAGCACGAGATGTATTAAGGCTCTTTTTTTCCTGTTCCTTTAGGGTCTTGTCATGCCACATCCCGATTAATGAGCTCTCGCTTTCCATGTGCCGCCGTAGGTTCAGCCCATACGAGTGGTACGATGCTCACCCCTGTAACCCAGGATCAGACATCGTGGAGAATAACTTCACCCTATTGAACAGCTTCTGGTTTGGGATGGGAGCACTGATGCAGCAAGGTACGGCGGCACCTCCCCGCACCCCCAGCCGGCTCTCCAGCACAGACCTTTTGTGGCGGCTTTTTAAATTTAAAATTTATTTTGTTTGTGATGGGAACAAGATAAAACACCTGAACAGGCACAGAAGCGCTCGTCAGAACTGGCTCCCTGCTGAAAGGCGGCGAGGTGTGGGAGAGGGGAGGCAGCTCTCCTCTGGCACCTCCTGGGACCCGCTGTGCTGGGAAGCGCCCAGCGCCTGCTGCTCCCGGAGGGGACGGGCTGGGGCACAGCAGCACCTAAGGGAGCCGCTGCCCAGGGAGCCGCGGGCACCGCGGGCAGCCCCTGGCTGGGGCCACGGCGGCAAAGGGCTAATGAGATCGTAATCTCATCAGGGGAACCAGCTGTGATCTGCAGTCAGGAGCTCTTGGCGACTGCGTTTGTGTGATTCACTCACTTTGAACTTCATCTCCGCGCAGACACCCGCTGAGCCGTGGGATGGAGAAACAGGGGGACATGTGCCAGGGCCGAGCCCCGTCTGGGGCACCAGGAAAAAGTCCAAGGCTTTTATGCCAAGAAAACCCTCCGATTTCTTCTGTGTCAGAGCAGGATGGAGCTTGTCAATCTTTTTTTTTTTTTTTTTTACGTGCCTTTATTTGTGCTTCCCAGCGTCTGCAGGGTCAAAGCCCCCGTCCCAACAGCTCACCCCACGGCTCCAGGACAGACTCATCACTCGCCCTACGAGGCAGAGCCCCGCGGGCTGCAGCTGCTGCCGGCACGCACGTGCCACTGCATGGCAATAATCACTATTAATGAAGCGTGCACGCTCTGGCAGGTGTCAGAAGGAGCAGCTCCCGAGTCTGCCATCTGGAAGCGCACAGCTACATGATGGAGCGGTGGTGTGTTCACACGTGTGCTGCTGCTGGTGCACACAGAGGAGCACCCACCCACCGTGCCCCCGGGAGGAACACTGCCTTCATCTCCCTCAGCTGTTTAATTCACCAGACTCTGCAGCATCCCACAGATTCTGTAAATTCCTGCTTCTGTTAACTCGAGCAATTTGTTTAAGTTCAGGATCTCTGTCCTGGCTCGCTCAGTTTTAAATCAACTTTTACAGAAGACAGAACATCTTGCCCTCTGGCCTGTCTCCATTTTTATCCTCATCTGGTCATTCTGCACATTGTGAAATGGCCTGAAACCCCCTCTAGCACAGGGCGAAGGCTGCTGGGGCAAAGAGGATGGCGAGAGCTCCTGCAGGCAGCTCTCCCTGGCAGCCACTGCCTCTGAGACTAAACGCTTTCAGTGTCACTGGTGTAAGACACCACAATGACGGGATCCTTAGAAATGGGAAATGGATGGGATTACATTCATATATGTGGATGGAATAGAGCAAATGGAATATATATAGATGGAATGAATAGAGTAAATCTGTTAGGAAGACAGCAGAGGGGGAGCTTGTGAGCAGCTCCGAATAAGGAACGAAATTCAGCTGTGATCTAATTGCAGAAAATCCAGGAATAGAAATAAGTGGAAAATGTCAAACATTTGTCACACTTTAATTTACCGTGTATCAGTAGTTACACCCAGAGAGCAAAAGAACCACAGCATCAGCTTGGTGGCGTGCACAGTGCTACTGCTCTGCGCTCCTCCTGCTGCCACTGCTCCAGCCTGTAATAGAGACTCTTCCCGATCTCGGCTGCTCTGATGGACAGTGACAGTTCCCAGCAAGAGGGTTTAGCAGGATGAATCATCCTCTTATCAGATGCTGATAAATGAAAAGAGCTGTATTCTTTTTAACTCTATTCTGCATCTAAGAAAAATAATATTTCAAAGCTAGACTGATGTCACACCGTCCAATGCATCAAAGGGCATGAGATGGAATGGGGAAGAAGCAGGATCTTGAGAAGAACCGAAGCAGCCCTCTATGTCCAAGGCTCCTCTGCTCCCTGGTGCCTCCTTGCTGCATTCAGATAGGAGAAAAACTACACTCCATGCTATGCTTTGATGCCACGCTGCTTAAAACTGCTTTGCAAAGCCCAATCTTTGCTGCAAATTCCAGGTTGGATATGTCCTCTGAACACAGTTGTTTCAAACCCAAAGCTGTTGCCTGGCTTTGAAAGGTGTCTTGGGTGATTACAAAAATAGCACAACCCATTTAGTCCTTCATGTCTGCTCAATAAAAGTCATTCCAGACCTGTTACACCTTTTCTGCCGTAACATCTCCTGCTTCCCTACTTCTAACCAGTATTCAAAGTACTGGACCCTGATAGTTCCTTTCTCTTGCTGTTTGATTTTTTTTAAACCTTGTGTATTTGAACACACTCCCTAGAGTGAGTCCTTTGAAAAGTAATCCATATAAAAGCAAAGCACTTTTTAAATGGCAGAACAAAACACTCATAAAAGTTCATAAATGGCTTGCTATTTAAATCTCATAAAAGCAGCCTAGTTAATTACTTCAGTTCGAATGTTTCCTGTAAATTGTGCACTGTACCCAAGGTCAGCAATAAGGGGAGAGGATTTTTCTGCAAATGCTACAAAAACCCCACTGATTTCCTCACATGCAAGATGTCTGGATAATTTGCCTCAAAACCAGTTGAATTTAATTGTGTAGCTGTTACAGTTTTGACAGTGAAACCTAATCTTTTTATATACGAGTGTATATGTATATAATGTACGTATGCATATATAAAACGGGTCCTTTCTCTCTCTTTGTTTCCTCTTCTCTCTTTCTCCTTCCCCCCGTCCCACCCCAGGCTCTGAGCTGATGCCCAAAGCACTGTCTACACGGATCATTGGTGGCATATGGTGGTTCTTCACCCTAATTATCATCTCGTCCTACACGGCCAACCTTGCCGCCTTCCTGACGGTGGAGAGGATGGAATCCCCCATCGACTCTGCAGATGACTTGGCAAAGCAGACAAAAATAGAGTATGGAGCAGTGAAGGATGGAGCTACTATGACCTTCTTCAAGGTGAGACCAGGCAAAGGCTTTCCACCATCCAGGCAGAGACGCAGCACTCTGAGGCCAACGGGAGTGAGAACAAAGAACCAAAGACAAAAAGCCTCCTAAGCCACCGCTGCTGCTCCTTATAAGCGCGTTGTTTCAGTCTCGCATCCTTGGCTAGACGCTGACCCCTGTCAGTTCAGCTTACCTAGATCCACATCATGGCTAACCCCCCCTCTCCCTGGTGCTACTTGAAGTTAGAATTACAAAGTTATATTGATTTTACAGCTTCGGAGACTGTACCCAGTATTGGCTCAGACACCCTAAAATGAGGCATGTATTAGGCCTACAGAAAAAAGCCCTACGGAAAAATCCTACCTTCCCTAAAGTATCTTCCCTATTGCCACATCTCACCCACTGCAGCTCCTTCCTTGTCTCTACAGCAACAGCTCCACGGAGCCCTCGGGGCTGACCTGGTCGGCCTTCAGGGACAGGGAAGAGACCAAATGACACCTAAACCCGGACAGGTGTCACAAAGTGCCCTCCCTGACCAGTATTTTTTACAGCTGAAATATCTTTCTTGTCCTTCAGGTGTTCACATTGATGTAGTCAAGTTTTACTACCCTCTGAAACCCAGTGCAGGGTAACACCACCAATGCATCAGAATTAAATTACATTAATTTCTTCTCTTTAAAACATACTTAATTTCAGAAGTTAGCCAGCACTGCAGAGGAGGTAGCTAAGAGCATTCGTATTTCACTATTGCCTCAAAAATTGAAAGAAACTGCGGGACTTAAAAAGACCTTTAAAACCATAGCTAGCCTGTAAAAACACGCTTTGCAAAAAAGAGTGAGAGAATAAAGGAATAGAAATGAGGGGTGATTAATCTAAGGAATGATCCCTGTGGCTTGGAGAGGAATTTAAATTCATCGATGAACTCAAAAAGCTGTCTTTCCGGGGAAGGTTTGGCGTTCTCTGTGCTCCCCTGGGAGCGCCGGTCAGAGCTCGGGGTCCCGCGGTGCCGCTGCCCTCCCGGGGCGCTCGGTCAGCGCCACCGCAGGAGCGCCAGTGGAGCCGAGCCGGCGGCCGCAGGAGCGGCATTGCCTCCCCCGCACCTCTGCTGCCTTCCCCCTCCGGTCACCCCGATTCAGAAGGAAATATATGGGCAAAGTGTGGCAAACGTAGTTCATGCTTTAAAAAGCAGGTTGTGCCTGGAATACTGCAGTAACTTGAACAGGCATAGTGTAAAGGCAGCTACAGTAGGCTGTCAGCAGTTTAATTGCCAGCACTCATTAAAGGAAGCCAATGTGCTGAATTTTAATAACAAGAAGCAGCAGCATTGTTCCGCAACTTTTCTTGGCTGTGACTTGGTTAAGGAGCCACTATGCTTTCTGAATCTCTGCGCTGACTTTGACAGGCAGGAACACAGATCGGTGAAGAAAAATGGAGGATTTTGCTTAGTTTGATCTTTAATTAATTCTGGGAAATGAAAGTGTTGCACAGAATAGCCAGTTGCCGCTGGTGAGTTTGCTTTCTGCGGTGGAGCTGGTGCACACAGTTCTGTCTTTGGCACGGTCAGGCATTTGGCATGGCCTTGCGTTACCGCCCAAAAGCAATACACACCTACAACAGCTATCAGGAAAAGACAGACTTTTACTGTTGTGTTTTAACTACTCTTTCCAATAAGAGTTTTACATAAGAATAAAAGGAAACTCTCTTTTGAGAACCTTCAAGGACAGAGTATATTTATTGCTTCCTATCAGTATCCATCAGAATCATTCTTCAGGCTTCTAATGGGCATTTGGCAGGGTTTATCGATGCAGTGTATTTTCTTTTTTCTTTATTATTACTGCTGTTTGAAGATGAATTCTCAGGGATGTCCCTTCTGACGAGCGTTTCGATTGCTGGCACAGTGGGAGCGCTCGTGTGGGATGATGCTGTGTTCACTTGTCCTTTGCATACAGGGAAATGTGGGAGAGCCAGAACTTCTCCCACCGCTCACCGAGGTCTTTGACAAATGATGGGCACGTGCCAGGGTGGTATCAGTACAGCTGCTCTGCCAGTGCCACCTTCACGGGGACAGCTGTCAGACAGCGCAAAGGTCTGGGGGACAGAGCAAGGGGCCCCTGCGGCGCCTGCTGAGGATCTGCCCTCCCCGCGGATGAGTGGGACTGAAGGAACGGCCAACAGCTTCACGGCACCTTCCTCTGCTCTGCTAACGCGGGGTTCCCAGCAGAGAGAGAGCCCCACGCAGGCTGCGCGACTGCTGCTCTTCAAAACCCCTGGAGATCTGGCGGACAGAGCACTGCTGCCCGTTGCTGGACAGACTGGTGCTGCTGGGACAAAAGGCTGGTGGGGACATCCTGACTGGGATCACCCACTGCGCCCATCCTGTGGATTATCCACTAGGACTTAGCCCAGAGCGCTACCTTGCTCTTTGTATGACTGTTCCCCAAAGCAGTTCCCCTCACGTTAGGAACTCGATCCTCCGCTTCTCCGTCTCCAAGAAGCTGCAAACCGCAGACACTGACCCCCCTGAGCTGTGGCCTGAGCCCCACGGCCACCATCAGCAGTGCCCAGTGGCTGTGGCCACCACTGTCTCGTCTGGGTCTGTGGCCCTCCCGGCACCGGGGAGGTGTGACAAAGTGGGGTGTAGGGCCGCAGGAGGAGAGCAGCACCCCGGAGCCGAGCTTTGGGAGCAAGGCAAGCGCCTTCCGCTCTGTTCCCTGAGGCAGCTCCCAAAACACTACCCAGACTGGTGCCCGGGGCCAGGCACCCTCCGTGAGGGTTCACGCAGAGCTCACCAAAGGCACCGCACAAGTTCCCGACTGAACCAAGCTGAAGCACATCTCTGGGGCAGACCCGCAGCGGGCGATCTGCTCCCACAGAGGGGTTTTTGCCTGTGCAGCTGAGCTCAGCAGCGACCGCGAGTGGGAAGGAGACCAGAGACTTTCACAGATTTTGACTTCACAAAAAGAACTTTTGAGAAGCTATTTATTCCCTGGCAACGCAGATCAAGTTACAGGAATAAACACAGATCAATTAATTTAGGAACAGCATCTCGCTTTCGGTATAAATCACGCCAGAAATCCTTCCTGTCTTGCAGAGGATCTGTCTCTCTCTAAGCAATGCTGGGTTCAACGTGGGGTTCGGAGTGAGAGTGTGTGTATGTGTGTACATATATATTCACTTGTACAGAAATGTTAAATCCTCAAGAGTAAGTATCTTCAGTTGGTGAAAATCAATTTATTTTTTCATACAGGCTGGAATTGAAAATCTTAAGCCTGAAAGTTACTTTCTTGCCAATTTCACTGATAAAAAAGCGTATATGTCTTGGCAAGATGCCTTGTAGTGGCTCCTCTAAACTATTCCATTAATTTATGTGGGTGACTGGTCTTGAAGCATTGGTTATTAACGGGAGCTTCTGAGCTGTGACTCTAAAGAATGAATTCAGAGGCATTCGCAGCGTTGTTGCAATTGCGGCATTGAGAGGGGCTGGTACGCAGCTTTTCATACATGCATCTCATTTAGCACTGACTCAGGGTTTTATTAAGATGCAGAGGACAGCGGAGCAGATTCTGCTGTTATTTATCCTGACCGAAACAAGGAGAAGCTCCGCTCACATGAATCGGTGGGAGAGGCATAAGCAGAGAGAAACAGGATCCCCCGGCGTGAGCCATGGCTGCACTCATCACCAGCGCTAAACTGCCGCCTTTGTTTATTAGCAATAATCTCCATCATTCCTAAAGTTCCGGAGTTCCCGACTCTAGAATTTCTCTGCCAGGAAGAAGTCAATGTCAGGTCATTTATCTTAATGCTTCAGAGCAACCACGCAGTTCCTCCTCATCCGCCTTTGGCAGCAGAGCAAAGTTGTCATTGGGGGGGACCCTTCGGAGGACGCAGGGGCACAGGAGGGTCTCTCTGCCCACCACCAACTCAGACTTCTTTCATGCAGCCCATAAAAGCGAATGGTGATTCCATAGGGAAGAAATTTGCACCTCGTCACAGCCCAGCAAATATCAGTTCAAACCAGTAACTAATCCCAGTAAAGATTTTTTAAGGTAAATTCCTTAAGCTGTAAAATCAGGGATCCAGCAAAACGACACACACACAGGAAAGTCCAGCAAAAGAAACGCAACTTGCGTGCATTCTTTAGTGACTATTAAATGACTAAGATGGTTTTGCTTATTTGACTGGTATGTTCTCAGGTGAGGTCACCCCAATCCCATAGATAAGCGACCACCTTTGCGGTGTGGCAGAAGTATTCTGAGGAGGAAAAGGGGGAAGGAACAACTTTTCCCGTAACAGGAAAAAATGCCCAGTGGTCGAAGCTCTCCGGAATTAAGCGGGAGCTGGAGCACCGTACGCTCCTCGCCGTGGTTGCGCCTGCAATTTTTGATTGATGACTGCTCTCCCAATGACTGACAATTGCTTCTAAAATGGACTTTTAACAACCAGACGGGTCTCTCCAACTGCTAGTGCTGTGCCGAGAATTACAGTTGGTGAATTTTCACTTGGAAAAGGAGAGTTCTTATCTCATGTTAGCTGAGTTAAAGAAACTAATAGGAAATAAATTCCCAGTGAGGAGGTGGCAGGTTTTAGACTACGCGGAGAGCCCGAGATTGCCTTGAGCAGAGGCGTGCAGCGAACCGCCTGCCGCGGGGCTTGGCCTGTCCTCCCGGAGGAGCTACCACAGCCTCGGCGTTGGGGACGGGGAGGCCGTGGCGCCCAGGGGGGTTGCTGCGGGGAGAGAGCCCTTCTCTGCCGAGGGGCTCGTCCCTGTGTCGCCGGGTCTCTGTTTCGGCAGGAGCAGGCAGCGGTGGGCAGCTCCGGGCTGGTGGGGAGCCCCCGCCGAGGCGCGCTCCGGCCGGGGGCTGCTCCCCCCGCCATGGGTGCCCCCTCGCAGCACGGCCCCAGCCCAGAAAGCCGGGCTTCTCCTGGCATTTCAAAACACAATTAAGTCCTTTCAGCTGGTCAGAAGCGGTGATTTAAGAAGAGGAGAGAAAAGTGGTTTTTCTCTTCCAGGGAGCCCTGTCTCATGTAATTTAAGTTCCCTGAAGAGCTACAATGCCTCATGCAAGTCCTATTAGCTTCACTAAATGCAGCCTATTGATTTTTTGCCAGTTTATTTTGCTCTATGCTTTAAACTGGGAGAACGCTGATGTTGTTTAAGAGCTCTGTGTCAACACCCAAGGAGCATTAAATGCAGGAAGAGAAGGAGAGAAAGGGAGAGGCAGTGAACCCAGAGGCCTCTGATGTGAACTATATAAATGTTAAACAAGTCGTTATCAGCAAGCCGAGTATGCTATTCATTTCAATTACCCATTGTAATGCACAGATATTTAATAATCCTTTTGGAGGCTACATTTCTTGCTGCTCTTTGAGGTTTGATAGATGCCACAAATCTACCTTACAGGCACTGGCCCAGATTTTCAAGAGAGGGAGATTATCCTGCCTCGTGAATGAAGTTTGCTCCGGCACATCCACTGCCGCACATTCATCAAGTGGATTATAAGAAGCAGGAGCCTGCACTGAGCGCAGTGAGCCCGTGGTTGTTTCAGAACGGGCCCACGGGGTTAAAGACAGCGGAACAGCCCTCATCACTGTGCTGTACTAACCAACTTCGGGGTGTTAAGCCACATGCCAACTTCTGTTAAATATGCTGAATAAAAGAAGTGGACTGGCAAAGCATTTGAAATATAAAGCATTATGGGGGTCTTCTTTTCTTAGTTAATTTACCCTTATTTCTAGTGTTTTTATGAGAAGTACCTATGCTGGCATGTTTTGAGTGATGTTGAAAAATGAGGGGGAGAAGTGATAGCAGCAGTTGGGATGGGCTGGGGCTCCATCTCCTGCTTTCTATCGGAAGGACAGACCCAAATCGGAGATAAACGACAGCTAAACCAGAAAGTGCAGTTTCTGCCGCAGCGACTCCTCATGCAGCTGCAGGTGAGCAGTTACCCTTATTCAAGGCAAAGCACAAAGACTTATCGGCCCCTCCAACTTATCAGCCAGCTTCAGGCTCTCGCTAAGTAGTGCTGTGGAGGAGGAGGAGGTTTTGGCTGACTAAGCTGCCTCTTATAAATAAGAAGGCAAAAAGAGATCTGGGAAAAACAAGAAATCAGGCAGAAAAGAAGAACGGCACATAAAGGAACATGACCACAAGCCTCAATAGCCAAGCGCTTTTCCAGAGCTCAATGGGACGTATGGAGCTGTGTTGATGAGAGCTACACCACCCACGGGAACAGAGTGGCCAGCGAAGGGGGTGCTTCAGGAGAAGGCTGATGTGCCTTTCCCGGGGAGTCTTTCAAGACTAACGCCGGTTACGTCTATTGTGACAACCTACATAGAGGCAATTCAGAAGGTGGTTGTAGATAAATGGTATATTTCAAATGTTACGGAAAGACATAAAATAACCATATTTCTTCTCACCCAACACATTTTCTAGAAGAAGAAAAAGACATTCTCATGAAAATATATTCCTCCTTTTTTAACAGAATGCCTGCTGATAGTGAAAGAATATCCATGTTTATTTTTAGCCGTAAGACAATCTTCTTGACTATTTCTATGCCTCTGTTTATGTGGATACGTTAAATTTGTTTGGCAGCTGCACATATCTCAGAGGAGACATGTTTCCTTGTGATGCTTGAGGAAAGGCAAAACTATAATAGAGTGTGTGCAAAAGAGAAAAACATGCCCTCTGAAATGTTCTTTGTCTTCTCTCATTGTGCAGAAACATTACAGGATAAACAAAATTCTGGTTAGGAAACTAATACATGTAAACAGATATACTGACAGCCCGTCACAGTAGCAGGTTCTGCAGGGCATCACGGCAGGCTCGCCCCGTACCTTACTGAAGCGAATGAGCAGTTCAGTTCCACCCACAGGATCAGGTCTCCGGAGCAGTGACTCTTTCTGCTGAGCGTCTGCACAATGTGTGCGGGAACCTTTGTCTCTTGTTAGGGCAACGTGAAGCCAAACAATGTTGAGCAGTGAAAGCAGAGAGATATTTAAGACAAGGTCAAATAGGTAATAGTTCCATTATGTGATCCGTTCTCAAACTGGTATTATCATTGACTGTAAAGACACGAGGTTTCAGCAAAAAGAAGACTAATTCTTATTTTGGGGGCGGGGGGTATTGTTTTTCCAGAAATCCAAAATTTCCACGTTTGAAAAAATGTGGGCTTTCATGAGCAGCAAACCCACAGCTCTTGTTAAAAACAACGAGGAAGGAATCCAGCGGACCCTCACGGCCGATTACGCCCTGCTGATGGAGTCAACCACCATCGAGTACATCACCCAGAGGAACTGCAACCTGACGCAGATCGGGGGGCTCATTGATTCCAAAGGCTACGGGATTGGGACTCCCATGGGTAAGTGACAGCGGTAGCGTTTCTGTAGGTGGCCGTGGAGGGGGGCTAGTTACCACAAATACAGCAGATGGGATTAAGACAGTCCACTCCCACCAGTGAATTTCCAAATACTTATGCTGCCTGCCTGTTGATGAGCGGACTGAACAGCCCTGCTTAGCGCAGGCACGTTCCCTACTTTGTGTGGCTTTTGCCCTTCTTTCCATCTGTGTGTAATGGTGTTCCCCCTCCCCAGGGTCACCGTACAGGGACAAGATCACTATTGCCATCCTCCAGCTCCAGGAGGAGGACAAGCTCCACGTAATGAAGGAGAAGTGGTGGCGAGGGAATGGCTGCCCTGAGGATGAGAACAAGGAGGCCAGCGCTCTGGGCATCCAAAACATCGGTGGGATTTTCATTGTCTTGGCAGCAGGCTTGGTGCTCTCCGTCTTCGTGGCCATGGTGGAGTTCATCTACAAGCTGCGCAAAACGGCGGAGCGCGAGCAGGTACTGCTTTCCTCAGTCTCCCTGCGCCAGCGCTAGCCCGGCCGTTAGGGGCGTCACGCGCGGACCCCAGAGACAGGCAGGGGGACGGGCAGAGGGGTTCAGCCCTGACCCTGCTGCCGGGAGGCCCCAGCGCCCGCAGCCCAAGGGCTGAAATGAACACCCCCGAAATGCCCTTCCCTCAGGCTCACTGCTTCTGTTCCGCGCCCAGAGCCTCAGGTCAGGGGGTAAATCACGTCCGCTCTGATCAGGGCCATCTGCTGCTGCAGTAACTAGACTAGTGAACATTTGTAGGGTAATTTTGAGCAAGCCGACACAGAAATCAGAAAAATACGGACACAGGTCCCTGGGAAGGGACCTTTCCGAGCTGTTACATCCACTCGTCACTACCACATGCAATTGTGTTGCATATTCCAGGCGTAATGCATGAAGTCTCCATCTCTTCTCCCCACTCCTGTTCAAAGGGCCTCAAGAAACTTGCCAGGGTCTACCACAAAGCCTCATATTATTTTATCAACTTTTCACAACACATAAAAACGGCCCATCCCACCCAGAGTGGCTTATTAGTGCACCTGAAACAAGAGGACTGCTTTGATGTTTTTCCCTCTGCCTTGTGTGTCACGGCACAGTAAGTGGAACGTGCATTTGCGTGCATGACCAGAAATCAAAGCGTGCCACCCATGGGATGGACTAGATAGATGAAGGAAAACTGCCCACTAGCAGCCCCAGAGGGATTCGGTAGCCCTCTGTTTCCCAGCACATACATCTACCAGACCCCCGGCAGGGATCACACAAAGCACCGGCACTCCAACAGCCGCCGTAGCTCTCCCTTCCCGCAGGATTTAATGTGTCCAAGGTACAATTCTTGCCAAAGGACAGAGGGGTCAATTGGCCCCGTGCGTCACTGAAGTCACACTAAGTACAGCCGATGCCTTAAACGCAGCCTAAGCCTCCCGCTCGCCCTCTGCAGAGCCTAGTCTCAGCATCCTCCTGCTCACAGAGAGGGCAGAGCAGAACATTTTGCCAGGAGTAACGGTGCTTTTTGTCCCTGCTCTCCCCAGCGCTCCTTCTGCAGCGCCATGGCCGATGAGATCCGGCTGTCGCTCACCTGCCAGCGCCGGGTCAAGCACAAGCCCCAGCCACCCGTCATGGTGAAGACGGACGCCGTGATCAACATGCACACGTTCAACGACCGACGGCTGCCGGGGAAGGACAACATGACCTGCAACACGGGGTTGACACCTGTGTTTCCCTAGGGAATGGGAGCGGGGGGCGGGAGGGAAGGAATGGCAGCAGACAAGGCTGGATGCACTCTTAACTAGGGAAGCAAGGATTAAAAACCGAGAAAACAAACAAACAAACAAAAAGCCTGGTTTGGTTCATTTCAAGAACAAGGCCTTTACAACACAGATGCATCGATCACCGGCATAGAAGCAAGAACTTCAAAGCACGGACTGTAACATGGGTCTTGGGGCTTTTCTGTTTTGTTTTTGTTATTTTTTGTTCCTTTTTTTTTAAACGCTTAGATCCTACAGGCCTCATGGAGTCCAAACACACCACCATCCAGGAGTCTGATGTTTACATACTGCAAACACACGGAGGCGAAACAGAATTGAGCCAAACTGACCCTCGGCGGGTGAGGAGGAGCCCCCGAGGAAGGCTTCTTTAGCATGGCAATAAAAAGAAACCCTTTGTCAGGTGCAGCGTGAGCGTCTATTCCCCACTGACACAGACAGCACATTTAGGATACCTTGTCCGGGAAAGGGAAAGGTGTCTGTGAAGCACCGTGATGGTCAAGGCTGTGCCTCCTCTCAAAGCAGCGCATGGTGGCCCTTCACCTCACGGCTGTGCTGGCCGTGGCCATCGAAGTCCACGTGGGGGTGTGGGGGGAGAAGGCAACGCACACAGTCATCAGTAGATCCGAGACAGCTGACAGCGATGGGACGAGGACGCCTGAATGGAACCGAACTCTTGGCCAGGGATGGGACAGCGCGGTGCGCACCGGAGCCACTGCCACCGCCGAGTGACACCACCCACACGCCCTGTGGCAAACTCCAACCTGCA